ATATATAGGGAACAAATTAGGGTTAACACCAAATTGTCAATAATGTCCCTAAAGCCCATTTTAAAGCCCAAACTAAATAATTAGTTAAGAAAAAATAAAATTTAAATAATTTAAAATAATTAAAATAAACTTAAAATAAAAACTAATAATCCTATTGATTCCTAAAATAAAAAATATTATAAAAAGAACAAAATTTTTTTCAATATTTTTTTATTTTATGATTTTTTGGATATTTTTATGAATAATTTAGAAAAAAAGTGAAAAAAATAATATTTTAAAAAATGATTTAATTAAAATACGAAAATAATAATTAAATAATAATAAAAAACTATTTTTGTTATTTTTTTAATGAAAGATAGAAAAATTTAGAGTAAAAATAATAAAAAAACAAAAAAAATGACAAAGGTGAGATTCGAACTCTCAACCTCTCACACTCATAACTCCTTACACATGTCCTCCTGCCAATTGTGCCATTTTTACTTTTTAGAAAAAAAATGCATGCCATATGATATTTACCTCTCTTTGATGTTGGCAAAAAAAAAATCATGAAGTTTGACTTTGGTTTGACCACAGTTGACCTCAGTTTGACCTTTTAACTGCATTGACTGCTTTTGACTTATCTGATCATCTGACTGAGCAAACTTTTGAGAAAAGTCTTGAAACTTGACATGGGGGTTCTTATACACATATAAGATGTTATGAAGCTCACTTGAAGTCTTGGAAGTCCATTTAGCCTGATTAAAGTCAAAACCCTAGTTTTGGATGCACTGCTTAGGAGGTGCATTGTCTGAGGGAATTGTCAACTCTTCTGACCAATTATGAATTTTGTGAACCTTGTGAACCTTCTTGGAACACAAAGTCTTGTATTGTGAGGGAAAATTTTGGGGTGCAACACACGTCAAGCAACATGGGTGGTGAACCTGGTCAAAGAGATTACAACGAAGAATCACAAAGCAATTACCATGAAGATCGACATCATGCCAGCTATCAACCTAGCGAAGAATGCAATAGCATATGGTCGAAGCAAGCACATCAAAATGAGGTTTCATTATCTTTGAGAGCAGATAGTAGAAGGGGAGATGAACTTGAAACACTGCATAACAGAGAATTAGATTGCATATATCATGACGAAAGGGGTGCGGGTCGAAGTGTTTAAAAAGTTAAGGTCTATGATGAATGTAGATAGCTTAGACACAATGAATTAGATGGTGTGTTGAATTGTAATTTCTTATGTCGAAGCAATGTAGCTCGACAAAAACAAGGTCTAGTCGAATTATCCTAATGTGTGTGTCGAGTTGTATTATTGTGTCGAAATGTCGAAGCATGTTACTTTACATAGGACTTCGACTTAGATTTATTTTAGTAATGTTAGCTATTTTGGGCTTTTATGGTTGTGGGTTTTGCCTTGGGATGCAAGCTAACCTAAATCTATAAATAGGAAGAAACCCTTATTTTGTAAACAACTAATCATTGTATTCACAGTTTGCAGTTGCAAGTGAATAAGAGATTTTTCACAATTTGTGGGCAGAGAGTTCTCTGCAGAATTTTCATCTTCTTCTACATTCTTTCTCAACTTTTCATTGTCATTGTGTGATTGATAACAATCTTGAGATCAAGATTGAATAAGAATTCTCCATAGGTTGTGGTTAAATTTCCAACAAAGATTGAGGAGAATTTAGATTAATGTGAACTCTAAAAGTGTGGTGAGAGGGTTGGATGGAGAAGAAAAGTGGAATGCTAACTGTTTAACTTTGATTAGAAAGAATAAAAAGTTGATTGTGAATCACAAATTTGTGTTAGTATCCTATAATTATAGAGAAGCAAACTCTTGTGTTGATGCTCTAGCAAATATGAGATACTATATTGATGATTTTCTTGTTTTTAGTGAAGTTTTGGTTAAGATAACTAGGTTAGTGAAATCAGATAAATCTGTTAGTATAGCCTCTCTTAAGGCAGTTGGATAGTTGTTTTTCTTTCTCTAGACATAGACTGTAAAAAAAATTATATTTAAACTTTTAATTATAATAATTAATAATGAACCGAAATAATGTTAAAAGCACTGTATACAAATGTTAAAAATCTCCTCTCTTCCATCAAAATTTCAATAACAAAAAATGTCCTTCACATGATTTTTCAAAATTTAAATTTTAGTTTTTTAATATAAAAATGTACTCTTTTAAATTCCTTGATTTTTTTACCTTAAAATACAAGTTAAGAAAACCCATAGATAAAATAGACCGAGAAATGTTGCGGTGAAAACACACACAAACTCATATGAAAAATTTATTCGGTTCTGTTAAGCAAGATGTCGTCTTAGAAATTTGGTTTTTCATGGAAGCAGATCCACTACAAGTGAACAAACAAGTACACCATCGTGAAGATAGATCCAACAAATGTTGCTTAACTAATTTAAATCATCACAATCAACTCTTAAAAAACGCATCACAAACTTATCTAAGCACTCCAATGATGTGCTTTCACCGATGCAAACATAATCATCTACATTATCCTCGGGTGATCCATATGTTAAGCAATTCATATGAAGAGCAGCAATGCACTTCTATAATGGTGAAAGTCCTGTTCTATCAACTACATCAATCCCTCTTTGAAAGTACTCATTGTAATTGCCAAGGGTTTCAACGATGTGAAGGAATACATATTTTTTTCATACGAAACCTTCGTCGGAATTGAGCCTCAGTTGTATACAAGATTTTCATAGAAATAGTCTTTAAACAATCGGTTATGCCCTTCTTCACGGTTTCGATCTATCACTGCTCTTCGTTTTCCCACGAATGCATCTTTGGAAATGTTGAGCCATGTTTGAATAAGCAATTTATCTTCTTCACCAGAGGACCTAAAACACAATTTATTTTAGACCTCTCTCATTATGTGAGAGTAATATTTTCTATAAAAAAATGGCTGAAGGATACCGACACTTGAGAATCAGTAGCTGACCCAATTGGTGATTCTGGTTCATTGTTAGGATGTTAGAAAGATCTTAAAGTCCCATATTGGTTGGAGATAGAGCATTGAAATAATTTATATAGAGTGACATCATTCATCTTACCAACCGGTTTTGTAAGGTTGTGTTAGGTCAAACTCTAATATGGTATTAGAGCCGATCGTTTAAATCCACATACCAAGCCCACCGTTTAAATCCACATACGAAGCCCAAAAAAAGAGAGTGTTGAACGTGAAGGAGTGTGTTAGGAAGATCTTAAAATCCACATACCAAGCCCACCGTTTAAATCCACATACGAAGCCCAAAAAAAGAGAGTGCTGAACGTGAAGGAGTGTGTTAGGAAGATCTTAAAGTCCTACATTGGTTGAAGATAGAACATTAAAATAGTTTATATAGAGTGACACCCCTCACCTTACCAAATTGGCTAGTATAGAGTGAAACATAAAAGGTCTGGTATTGGTGATTGAAACATAAAAAATTGAACATTAAAATAGTTTATATAGAGTGACACCCCTCACCTTACCAAATTGGCTAGTATAGAGTGAAACATAAAAGGTCTGGTATTGGTGATTGAAACATAAAAAATTGAGAGTGTTCTGGTATTGGTGATTGAAACATAAAAAATTGAGAGTGTTGAAAACCATCACTGGTAGAGATCGGTACTCGTGAATACATAAATGTTGAAGATTTTAGGAACAGTCACCGATAGAAGTTTGTAAAAAATTATAATAATTTTGATACGAGTTCTAATGGTTGGAATCCATTCGATAGAAAAAATATAATTAAAAAAAAATTGTCTGTAAAAAAGTTTGATATTAACTTGAACATATTTATAGAAAAATTATATAAGTTACCGTTAAAATATATACATTAATGCTATTACTTTTTATACTTTCTAGCTGTTACAGTGTTACTAATATACTTTGTTTCATTATTTTACTGTTATTTAAGATGTAAATTTCATTAGCTATCTTTGGTTCTAGAGTCCATGGCAACTTATACTTACTGCCACCTAGATGCTTTCCAATGCAAGTGAAGTATATGCAACGTCAACTCTAATAAATTTAAGACAAATGATATGTTTATACCACATGTTACAACTTACATCCTATTTTAATACGGTTTTATTTTTTTATTGTATTTAATAATCATTTTGTACTTTTATAATACAAATAAACAGATGCCATCGCTATATTTTAGAGTGTGTAACTATAAGATGTATTTTTTTGTGTAGAAATAACAATTCTCTAAGCTTAATGTTAAAAGACCAACATTTGCTCTAATAGAGTGAATCATAAAATATTAAATTAGGTCAATTATATTACTTTTGTGGGACCGAAGTGTCACATAAGATTGAAAAAAAATTTAGTTGATCTAAATTATTTGACGTAAGATTTAAAGAATATTTGGTTCATCTAAATATTTATAAATAATTCAAACTTGATTATATATATATATATATATATATATATATATATATATATATATATATATATATATATATATATATATATATATATATATATATATATATATATATATATATATATATATATATATATAAATAATACAATTATTTCATTATTTTAATGCCATTTAATATGCAAATTGAGTAAGTTTACATTGGCTCTAGAAAGCACGACAAGTTATAGCTACTGCCATGTAGATGTATTTCAATGCTGGTGAACTATAAATACAGTTTACTCTGATAAACCAAACTTTTAAATTCACATTTAAAGTTGCTCTAATGAATGTAAAGTTAAAAAACTAAAAAAACTAATTTTAAAATTGAAAGGACTTAAAATTAAAAAAAAATCAAATTAGAGGAATCAAAATTCTATTTAAGCTTTTAATTTATAATGATTAATAATGAACCAAAATAATGTTGAAAGCACTGTATAAAAATGTTTAAAAGGTTGCAAGTAAATTGATAGTGGGAAAATTAAAGGAGCATATGTGTATTTTAATTTCCTCGTTTCAGACAGGGTTTCTTTCAGACCGTGTCATCCATGAAAACATTATTATTGCAAAAGAAATTATGCATATCATGGAGAAGTTAAAAGGTAAGAAAGGGCACTTTGTGATCAAAGTTGATATGTCCAAAGTCTATGACAAGCTGAGTTGGGAGTTTATTTGGCGTGTGCTTCAAGTTAATTTTCTTAAGAATTTGATCAACTTAATACTGCGTGCAGTTTCCAGTGTTGAAACAAATGTTAATTGGAAAGGTGCTCGTAGCAGTTACTTTCGTCCTCAATGTGGTATTCGGCAAGGGGACCCCATATCTCTTTGTTCTTTTCATGGAAACTTTTCACACCGTATTGAGCATAAAGTGAGAAACAAGAACTGGAATACTATGAAGCTGGGGGAAAAAGGTAGTAGAATCTCACATTTGATGTTTGTAGTCAACTTATTGCTTTTTGGACAAGCTACGGAGAAGCAAATGGAATGTTTAACGAGGACTCTTAACAAATTCTACAACACGCCAGGGCATGATATTAGTCAAGAGAAAATGACATTGATTTTTTCCAAGAACGTGGCAAGAAGTATGCAGAACAAATTGGCACATATGTCTGTGTTCAGGATAGCTAATAAGTTGGGGAAGTATCTTGGAATCCCTCTAAGGGGTAAAAACTTGAAAAAAATCGATTTCCAATATCTGGTGGACCAAAGGGATGCTAAACTTACTAGTTGGAAGATAAGCAGTTTATCATTCACAGGAAGAATTACTCTAGCTAAGAGTGTTATTGAAGCCATACCTTTGTATTCTATGATGATTGAAAAAATTTCTAAAGCAATTATTCAGGAGATAACTTGCCTACAACGTAACTTTATTTGGGGTTATACTATTGCTCATCGTAAGCTACGTGCTATTGGATGAAATACTATAACTAAACCTAAAAACCAAGGGGGTTTAAGGCTGTGAAATTTGGAGAGGTTGAACTCAACCTACCTCAAGAAGCTTGGATGGAAAATTGTCTCTAATGCCCATGACATATGGCGTGCAATCATAAGGGTTAAATGCGACATAAAAGAGAAGGAGGAATTTAATAGGGTGAAGTATGGTGACTCTAGTTTATGGAAAGCTATAGTCAAGATGTCACATGACATTCATGATTTTGGGTGTTGGAGTGTCAGAGATGGCTTGAATATTAAGGCTTGGGTGATAATTTTTGAGGGATATATATTACACACCTTATTTCTGATTATTTGGATGATGCTCGGGTGGTAGACTTGGTAATGATAGTATGGAGTGGAATTGGGATATGCTAGAAGGGTGGCTGTCGCTGAACCGGTTGGATAAACTCTGATCTTACTTGCCTCCTTGTGAGGGGTAAAAAGTTGACGTGTTTTTTTTGCAGGTACTAATATTGCTTTATTCTCGCTGAAGGAGGTGTATAAGATTTTAAATGGTAGGGAGAGAGGAGGTAATGAAGAAGGTTGGAAGGTGATTTAGAGTTTAGATGTGACAGAGAGATGTCATAGCTTTGTGTGGATGCTCAAGCATGCTATGCTTCTTACTAACTACAACAAGAGTAGGAAAGGGATGAGCCATGTTAGCTGTAACCTTTGTGGAAGTGCTTGTGAAACCACTCTCCATGCTATGAGAGATTGTGTTAAAGCCATGACAATTTGGAAGACTTTTGTCCTAAGTAACATTGTGGGTGACGTCTTTTCACTTGATTTGCAGAATTTGATTACTTTTAATTTGAATTATTATGGAGATGGAGTTAAGGGAAGTGTGGGTTACTACTTGCCATTCAATTTGGATTTGGAGAAATAAGGAAGCGCATGATAAAGATTATGTGCGACATAGCATTCCGATCCATTTTATTTTCCAAAGACTTAAAGATTATGAGGAAGCTAGAAAAATGACAGGGAAAGTTATAATAGATGAAGGGAGAAATAAGAATGGTTATTGGAGACTGCCTTTGAATAATATGGTTAAACTTAACACTGATGGAGCAAGTAAAGATCATAAGATTGTTGGATGTGGTGGAATCATTTGCGATGCAATAGAAGATTGTATTGGGGGCTTTTTCAAATTCTTGGGGAATTGTAGCGCCCTAGGGGCGGAGTTCTGGGGTGTTTATGAAGGTCTTAAGCTTACGAAGAGGTTAGGATTGAGGAGAGTTGAGATTAATGTGGACTCTGAAAGTGTGGCGAGAGAGTTAGACGGAGAAGGAAAATAGAATGCTAACTGTTTAACTTTGATTAGAGAAATTAAAATGTTGATTGCGAATCATGAATTTGTGTTAGTATCCCATAATTATAGAGAAGTAAACTCTTGTGCTGATGCTCTAACAAATATAAGATACTATATTAATGATCTTCTTGTTTGTAGTGAGCGATGTTTCAGTTAAGATAACTAGTTAGTAAAATCAAATAAATTTATTAGTATAGCCTCTCTTGAGATAGTTGAATAGTTTTTTCTGTCTTTGGACTTAGACTGTAACAAAATATATTGTATTTAAATTTTTAATCTATAATAATTAATAATGAATTGAAATTATGTTTAAGGTACTCTATACAAATGTTTAAAATCTCCTCTCTTCCATCAAAATTTCAATAAAAAGAATTGTCTTTCACATAATTTTTCAAAATTTCAAATTTAGCTTTTTAATATAAAAATGTAGTCTTTTAAATTCCTTGATTTTTCTTTTCCCTTAAAATACAAGTTAAGAAAACCCGTAGATAAAATAGACTGGGAAATGTTGCGGTGAAAACACACACAAAGTCAGATGGAAAATTTATTCGGTTCTGTTAAGCAAGAGGCCGTTTTAGAAATTTGGTTTTCCACGGAAGCAGATCCGCTGCAAGTAAGTACACCATCGTGCAGATAGATCCAACGGCCGTTGCTTAACTAATTTAGATAATCACAATCAACTCTTAAAAAACGCAATTATTTCACGGTTGAGATCGTTGGCATTTTATAGTTACGATAACGTTCCTAGACGTTATTCCAGTATTATTCATTAAATTCAACTTGCATCTCAATCTCTTCCTCTCACGCAACGCAAGATTGTTGTTGGTGGCTTGTTCTAATGCAACCAATCAACAACAAGCAAAAAGACGAAAAGTAATTGCGGCGTGCTTGTGTTGAGCATTCCAACGATTAATTTATTTATTCATTCAATCTTATTTATTTTTCTTATCCATAAATAAATAAATTGCAACCTCCGTCAATATAGAAGCAGCAACCGAAAGAGGATTATCAGAGCTATGGGTTCCGTAGAGGACGATTCTTCGCGTTTGGAAGAAGCACTTATTCAGGTTCCCCTCTTTTCCTAAATATTGCATTCCTTTGACTCAGCTCGTACAAGATCTTTTGATTTTGATTAGGTTTTATCAAATTTTGTAATCCATTGATTCGTGATTGTTAAATTTTAATTGTACTAGTCTCAAGTTCTCCCTTCTTTGAAGATAGTGTTGCTGGGGTTTGTTTGTACAACGATTCACTGACTCACTGATGCTTAGGGGGTTGGTTTCCACAGGATTCGAATCAGTGACCTACCACATGGAAATACCCTAGACAAATTCATTCATTGTTGCTTTTAAAGCTGAGATGTTGAAATTGCGTTGGATTTGTGGTAAGAGTAGGCGAGAAAAGATTAGAAATGACAATATTAGAGGATGAGTTGGGGCATCACCCATAATAGAAAAAATGGTGGAAAATAGACTCGGGTGGTTTGAACCTGTAGAGAGAAGACCCGTAGATTTTGTTGTAAAGAGAAACTATTAACGAATTGGATACAACATTATGAGGGAGTTTGATCCATGTAGTCGACCCCACTTAGTGGGACAAGACTTGGTTGATGTTGTTTTTAGGGCAGTGCCGCTGAGCCTTCTTGTACTAGTTAATACTATAAAATGCTCTAAATGCTTTTGACCAATATACTTGATTTCCACACAATTATTATTAGGTGATTTCAGTTTATGTTGATCATTTTTACTTTGTTTAATGCTCTCATATGAGCTGTTTTCAGTCTTGTATCTTGTAGGTGCAAGTTAGACATGATAATAGATTTATTTAAATATTTTTGCTTTGTTTTTTGTGTGCCTAAGACTGTTGTTTGATTTGGTGAAAAGAATATCACTCACAACCAAATTTAGAAATCAATGAAGTATTTAACTACAATACTTTGATGTTGAAATATACTATTTACTAAATTGTCTGATACTGTATTTTCCCCTTTTCCCTTGCTCTTAATAGTTAAATGTCAAAAGTTGATATTTGGGATTCTAATTGCGAATAGCAAAATGTTTCCTATAGTCGGTGTCTTTTTTTGACTTTTCTGAGTTTAAAACATTTAGAAGAAGTGGCGTTTTGCTCTATAATGAGCTATTTGCTATTTTTCATCTGAAGGATGAAGAGAGTAAGCTATACACAGGAGATGGCTCAGTCGACTTTAAAGGGAGGCCTGTGCTTAAGAAGAATACTGGCAATTGGAAAGCTTGCCCATTTATCCTAGGTAAGCCTTTTCATTTCACTTACGACTTATGTGACACATAATTATTTTTACAAAATTGAACTTTTCTTAGTCATTTTTTTTTGTTGAACTTTTACATGATATGAAACACAGGCAATGAGTGCTGTGAACGTTTGGCATACTATGGCATTGCATCAAATCTTGTTTCCTATCTTACTCGCAAGCTACATGAAGGAAATGTCTCTGCGGCAAGAAATGTCACCACTTGGCAAGGCACTTGTTACCTTACACCTCTCATTGGAGCAGTTTTAGCAGATTCTTACTGGGGACGATACTGGACTATTGCCATTTTCTCCATGATTTATTTCATTGTAATTACAAACCAAAATATGTTAATTCTCCTATTCAAATAATTCTCTACACACATCTCTTCTATGATATACTGCTGGATATGTCCTTTCTTGTAGAGCTGGAAAAATAATGCTTAACATATGCTGAGGTTCCATCTTGCATGAGAATTATGGGCAGAGTCAAGAAATATGCATTATATAGTTTCCTGCATAATGTAATATCTGATGGTGATAGATGTTTTAACCGGTAACATGACTGTCTCATGCAGGGAATGGGTACATTGACACTTTCTGCATCTATTCCAGCATTGAAGCCTGCTGAATGTCTGGGTGCTGTATGCCCTCCAGCTACTCCTTCACAATATGCTGTGTTCTTCATTGGTCTCTATCTGATTGCCCTCGGGACTGGTGGTATTAAACCATGCGTGTCCTCTTTTGGGGCAGATCAGTTTGATGATACTGATTCACGGGAAAGGGTTAAGAAGGGATCATTTTTCAACTGGTTTTACTTTTCTATCAACATAGGAGCCCTTATATCCAGCAGTTTTATTGTGTGGATTCAAGATAATGCAGGCTGGGGTCTTGGATTTGGCATTCCTGCTTTATTTATGGGATTAGCTATCGGAAGCTTCTTTTTAGGCACGCCTCTATATAGGTTTCAAAAACCAGGGGGAAGCCCTCTTACAAGAATGTGCCAGGTTCTGGCTGCATCTTTTCGGAAACGGAATCTTGCTGTCCCTGAGGATAGTAGTCTCCTGTATGAGACACCAGACAAGAGCTCTGCAATCGAAGGAAGTCGGAAAATACAGCATAGTGATGAACTAAGGTGATTGTTCCCTTAATTTGAGTTTACTGTTGTAATGTTCTCATTTCTCAGCTTTGGTCACTGTCAAAAAACAAGGGAGCATGTTCAATGAATAATAACTTATTCTTTATATTCTTGTTAAAGTGCAATGCACCTTCCTGCCAAATTCAAAGTTTACTAAGACTTTGAGAGTTTGGAAGGGAGGGGAAGGGAAGGAGGGCTTTGAAAAACGTTTTTTTAAAAAGCTATAGAGAAATCTTTAAGATTTAAAAAAAAAAAATTCATGTTTAGAATGATAAAAGAGTGTTTATCATTAACGTATTTTTAATTTTTGGAATACTATAACAACATAAGTTATATTTGAACAATTTGTCTAAGCCCTCCAAAACCCTCCAAACCCCTCATCCAATACAATTTTTTAGTTCCCCAAATTAAGGGGAATTTATGTTATGACTAAAAACAAAACCCTGCATATATATATATATATATATATATATATATATATATATATATATATATATATATATATATATATATATATACATATATAGAAATACACAAGTACCGAATGCCTATATTCTACAGCTTTTCACTACGGTGCGTAATAATAAATTCTCACCACATCAAATACACTTAGACGTATACACTCACACTAAACCATCCATCCATTAGTCAATATCCTACACATTCATTTATTTGCTATCCGCGTCCCATCAATTCCTGCACGCATGCATATTACATATGACAACCGAAACCCTCCCAATCAAAATCCTTCTATTCTTTTCACTCTATCCTTCCCTTTTTTCAAAACCCTCCCCTCCATTCCCCTCCAAACTCCCAAACAAAGCCTAACGGTCCCATTGGCTGGTCAAAGCCTTATCTGTCCCATCTGACAAGGCTCGATAGGATTGTACCAAGATTAGCTACATGTAGGTTTTTATAACTATGGTAACTTTCTCTATATCTCTCTTAACCATCATTCTCTCATATCTAACATACATCTTCAAAATGTACTAAAGTCATCAGTTTCTAAACAGTAAGTTACCCAAGAGGATTGGATAACTAATAATAATATCACCGTACTTTCTTTAGTGTTTGGAGTTCATAGCAAATATCCAAACATTATCTGGCCATGCACTCTCACAGATGACTTCCTTACGACACTATTGAGCAATGACACCCTTTTTATAGTCCTTCTTGCATCTCTTTTTTCCTTCTCGTAACTGTTGGTACTGATATGCTGCCATCCCATCATCAAACACCACATTTAACACATTCATCAAACTTGGGATACTGCTTAGAGAGAACATGCAATTTGGTTTTACACATTCTTATCCAAAAGTTCAATAGGTGTGGATATTTCCCCTTTTTCTTTATGCGAGATTCTCATTAATTAAACTATCACTATCTTTGGTTTTTTCGGCTAATACCAGCAACATACTGTTTTAAAACGTTACAAGGGAACCCTGGATGTGATAAGAACCTTTAGACGGCATCAGTGTCACTTGATCTATGATTCACTCCTGAGTACTGGTTGCTTATCAAGTTATCATGTCCCCTAATTTTTCTGCTTAAATAATCATGATTAGACATTTATGTTGAACATTTTAGATATTTCATTCATCTCTCAACTTTGCAAATGATTTATCTCTTTGGATTGTAAAAAATGACTTTAGGTGCTTTACTTGTCGAATATAGATATCATTGCAGGTGAACTTTGCTATATTTAATTATTTTTCAAGACGGATGAGAAAATATTAGATTGTTGTAAGTTATTCTCTTTTGAGTAGGCTAATGGAAGGCTCATTCTTTTCTTGCTTCTCTTTTTCCTATTTGAAAGAATGTTAATTTCATGGATAGTTCTGTAGGATAGACTGCATGTAAACAAATTTGTTTTACAAAGTCTTTAGTAGGCTGAGAAGGCCTTTACTAAATTTATAATATTTAGTTTTTGTCCTAACAATAATTTGATCTGTTATGGATACTGGTTTAAGTATGCTTACTTACTTTAGAAGATTCCACTCAGTTGTTAATTGAACTTTTTACTTTCCTTTGTTTTAATGAAGGTGTCTTGACAGAGCAGCTGTAGTCTCTGATGATGAGAGGAAAAGTGGTGACTATTCTAACCTGTGGAGACTTTGCACTGTGACACAGGTGGAGGAATTAAAAATCTTGATTCGCATGTTTCCAGTTTGGGCTACTGGCATAGTGTTTTCTGCAGTCTATGCCCAGATGTCAACATTGTTTGTGGAACAAGGAACTATGATGGACACTAGCATTGGTTCTTTCAAAATACCACCAGCTTCCCTCTCAACTTTTGATGTAATTAGTGTTATTTTCTGGGTCCCTGTCTATGACAGGTTTATAATTCCCATTGCAAGGAAATTTACTGGCAAAGAAAAGGGATTTTCAGAGTTGCAAAGAATGGGAATCGGTCTTTTTATTTCAGTCCTGTGCATGTCAGCTGCTGCTATTGTTGAGATTAAGCGTCTGCAGCTTGCAAAAGAATTTGACCTTGTTGATAAAGCTGTCCCCGTACCCCTTACTATACTTTTGCAAATCCCTCAGTATTTCTTATTGGGAGCAGCAGAAGTATTCACATTTGTGGGGCAGCTTGAGTTCTTCTATGACCAGTCTCCAGATGCTATGCGAAGTTTATGCAGTGCTCTGTCACTTCTGACAAATTCGCTCGGGAATTACTTGAGTTCATTCATTCTCACTATGGTAGTTTACTTCACTACACGAGGGGGAAATCCTGGATGGATTACAGATAACTTGAACAAAGGTCATCTCGATTACTTTTTCTGGCTTTTAGCTGGACTCAGCTTCTTAAATATGTTCATCTACATAGTTGCTGCCAAAAGATACAAGTCAAAGAAGGCTTCATAAGGATTTTCAGGCATTTGTTAGTAGTGGAACTTCATTTTCATAATTCCTTCTGTCATTGTCTTGATTGTTCTTTATGTAATATAATGATATTATGCAATTGCGTACCTTTCTTTCACTTGTAAAGGAAAATATTTGTTATGCCTTGTTCAAAATAGTCCCTGCCATTCTTGATTCTTGTGATGACAGTTTATGTTCACTACCAAAATTGCAACAAATACACTTGTAACTTCTGATATCTAAAAGTTTGATACCCTGTGACTTTTTGCTTATTGAGGCTCGTAGGGGATTAAGATACAAAAAATAACATTTAATTGATATTTTAAAATAACAAATAATGAGACAATCAAATATTTCCTATAAACTTAAAGAAACCACGTTACCAAAAATACATAATGGTCCTTTTAATGTGACTTTCAAATTTAGACACCTATACAACTTTACAGGTATAATGGTCACATAATTTTTTACAACAATTAAAAATTTGTATAATATAAAAGCTTCATGTTTTTTACAATTATTTTGACACAATTTTTAATAAATCAGTTAATTGTTTATTGTTAATCAATTATTTTAATTTAATATTTTATATTTATTATATAAATTTTAGATTAGTTTCAATATATATTAATTAAAACTTTATTATAAAATCATATACATGACTGATGAATAATGTACGATACTAAAGAATTTTACAAAATTAACATATCTAAATATTTTAAATTTAATATAAAACTTAATATGAGAGATAAAGAGTATAATATTGACATTAGAAAGGTTTATGTATATACTTTTTTAATAATTCAAGGTGATTCACATATGAAGCAATTTTTTTTTTAGTATATAACGTATATATTAAAAAAAAAAAACACCTTTTAATTTTTTATATTAAAATGGCGTAGTTTTTGTATTCTTTAACAAAGATGTGCCATATGATATGGTGAATGTAGTTTGGTTTGTACATATACACCATATCATATGACTTAAACAACTAACAGAAACCATATCAGATGACACCTTATCCTTTGGTCTGCATGCATGCGCTATATGATATGGCGCCTCCTTGTTTTTTTTTTTTGTTTTTTTTTTTATATTAATTAACCCTATTACCCTCTCCTATATATATCACCACTTGCATATGTATGTATCTGCAACAACGTCTAAATTTTCTCTGCATCTCATTCTCTTCATATTTCAAATGGATTCCTCTTCTTCTTTTTCCTCTTCGTATGCCTCATATATCTATCAGATTCCATATATCACCAAGAGAAATATAAATTTAATTTTCTCCCTAGTCAAACCTCTAATGAAGATTCGCCTCTGGAATACAATGACGTTAGAACATCTCAAAAGGAGTCTGATCCGCTGGTTAGATGAAGGCATCCTATAGGGTGAAAAGATCAGAAGAATTGAAAGACTTGTTACAACGTTTAACCAAAATGGAAAAGTTCGTTTCTGGGACAATGTTACTAATGACCGAGATGTTCAAACGTTGATGTTTAGTTCTCAGGAAATTGTGTTGATGGTTGTAATATCTTAGTTATGTTGTTGAGGCTATTGTATTTGTTTGTTTTATTTTTTTATTGTTTAAGTTATTGTTAATTGTTGTTGTTGAGATGTTAAGTTATGATTGTTTAAGTTATGTCATTGTTAATTGTAATCGCTTAGTTATGCTATTAATGAAATACAATTTGTTGTTGATATAAAGAAATAAGGTTACATTTGAAACTATGATATTGTGCTTGATCCTACGTTGAAACATTTTGTACAATTGTGTCCGGGCTGACGACACAAACTACATAATCTGACCATTTTGTTTGTCGTATCCATCTTCGTTTGGTTACGCGTGCTATTAGGGCAACCCTTTATGTTTCTTCGCATCAGATCATTATGCCAGACAATTTCGCCTTCATATGCAGACCAATAGTCTTCCCTTGCTACCACCTGAAAGATAGTGTTGTAGACATTACATAGACTAATGACTTTGTAAAAAACAAATAGATAGTTGGTAGGGTCCTGATGAGCCTTTGAACATGCTCCTATTACATGGGAGCAAGGGATACGAAATGCCTGAAACTTTCCGCAGTTACACCAACTCCTATCTAGTTCCACTCGGTAGCATCCCCTAGGCCTCTCTTCGTTGTGATTAATTGACTCATCAACACTGAACCAACCTTTATTATGGTCAAATACTGTGACCACATATGTTTTAGCTTTGGCAGCTTCGTCTTTCATGAATTTCATTGAAGTATCACTAAACAACTGCCCAGATTGTAAGACAAAACTCCACTTTGTACGTCTGATATCAAAAAGTGCCCCTAGCCTAACATATGTTGCCCTTATCAAAGCAGTTATCGGTAGGTTTTGGATGCCCTTGAATACATAGTTCATTGATTCAACGAGGTTTGTTGTCATGTGGCCCCATCGTTTCCCATTGTCGTATGTCCTGGTCAATTTCTCTAGTTGAATATTGTCGATCCATCTTAATGCATACACGTTTATCAATCTGATTTCGTCACAGTAGTGTTTGAAGGAAGGCTCTGTTAGTGCATACCATGCGTTCACAACCTTCTTCCACAATGTCTTGTCCTTGATCTCCTGCATGAAATTTTGTGCGATGTGTCTTATGCAATACACATGCGTTGATGGAGGATCCTACCAACCGTTATCAAGATTCTTGTATACACTCTTGATTGATAGGTGTCTGTCAGAAATCAAATATAAGTTAAGTTGCAGAGTCACATGTAATCGAAGATTTTTTAAGAAAAAATTTCAACCCCCAGCAGTCACCCTTTCAACTAGAGACAACACGATTGAAAAAATGTTGTTGTTGCCATTCTGTGCCACTGCCATGAGTAGCGTGCCTTTATATTTTTTGTACAACCATGTTCCATCAATTTGAATAATAGGTTTACAATATGCAAAACCTCTGATACATGGTTTAAACGCCCAGAAAAGCCTATGGAAAATGTCATTTCCACTGACACAAGTCCTGTCTGGGGTATACGCCGACAATGTCTCCAAGATGGCAACAATTCCTGGAGCATATTGTTTAAGTGCCACCAAGTATTTTGGAAGTTCTTTGTATGACTCCTCCTAATTTCCAAACACCGTTTCGACCGCCTTAGCCCTATCTATCCATGTTTTCCTGTACGACGGAGTATAATTGTATCTTTGAACCATATACGAGATTATGGTACTCATCTTCAAAGAAGGATTATCGCTAGTGATTGACAGAATTTTATTACATATCAACTGAGAGTTGAGTTTGCGATGATCCTGCATTGGATTCGTGATTATACAAGTGTGCTCTGGACCCATAGACCCTATCTTCCATGAATCACTTCTCTTCTAGTCAGATGCTGACAATCGAAACGGGCACACCTCGTTACGACAGTAAATCTTATACAGAGTTAAATGCGTTCGGTCGACTCTATAGTATGTTGATGATTCCATGTGATATTGTTTTATAGCTTGGACACAGTCTTCTTTTGTACGAAAATTGTCTCCCTGTTTTAATACTCATTTTGTTTGCATGTATGGATTGTAAAAAATATCTGCTGCTGGTTCATCTGTGCCTAAGCTCAGGCTTGTCATGTGTGGAGGTGGACAATAAACATGACTGGATGGTAATATGTCTTCTTCGTGGTCGGCAGTAGAATCGTTTACCATTTCATCAACAAGTACCTCAGCTTCTTCTTCCCATCACAACATTACATTTCTAGCAAGCCAAGTATTTCAGCAAGAAAGAACCTATTCCCAGCACAACCTATATTTATTCCAAGCCATAAAGATGTCTCTACTCACTATTGGGAACGAACACAGAGGAATAATTGAGAATATCGCAGAATTTGTAAGTGTTTTGCTTTATTTATTTTGTCTACCCTGACTTAGTTGTTTTTTTTTTCTTTATAACGAAGGTTATTTGTATTCTTTGTCAAGAGGTAACAAGATTTTGTTTTCGTGTACATGAATACATACGACACGACTCATTCATACAAGGATACCTTAAATCATGTGGCTTCGGTGATTTGATAAAAATCACTTCATACTCAATTGACCCCAAATTTATTCTAGCTTTGCTAGAACGTTGGAGACTAGAGACCTACACATTTCACCTTCCTTTCGGTGAATGCACCGTCACACTAGAAGATGTCTATATGTTACTGGGCTTATGCATCGATGGTAAGACCGTTTACGACAAAATTGGTGTTGATAACCAAATTTGTGAAGATTTGTTGGGTGCCCCTCTTTGTGTCGAAACACCTCAGTCACAACGTGCAGGTCAACCGAGAGGTCAAGGTATAAATTTAAAATTCCTTAGAGACCATTATAAAAATATCATATTAAACGACGAATTCACCGAGTATGACAAAATAATTAAAACTCGGTGTTATATTATGATCTTATTTGGAAATTTTTTTATTTCTAGAAAGTATTGGAAATACTGTAAATATTATGTATTTGCCTTTGTCACGCAACATCAATAAAGTATGCACTTATAGTTTGGATTCAGCTGTTCTGACCCATCTACATAGTTCCTTGTGTAAAAATTCAAAAAAAAGAAGATACTCGTACGTTTTATGGTTGCACCTTTCTACTTCAAGCATGAGATTGGTCTAGAATGCCGACACTAGCTCCGATCAACCCGCATCCATACACATTCCCCTACGCAAACAAGTAAGTTTATTTTAAAATATCAAACATGTATACTTTGATGAAAAGTTTATTTGTAAATAATTTATTTATGTCACTTTTTTTAGGTGGTCAGTTCTTGGAATGACTTACCAACAATGTCCAAGAAACTCAATAATCGTGTACCGCAATATTTTAGAACACATTGGGTCGGACGATGTAAATTATTCTTATACTACTATAAATTTGGCTATTAAATTACCACAATGTAATTTTTCTCATTACATATTTTATTCATGCATTTTGTCTGGAGGCCGTATGTGGGTCTTGACCATCCGCCCAACAACAATGATGTTGCAGTGTGAACA